TGTGTCCCAGCCCTGCCAGAGCCAGGCCAGTCCCTGCTCCCTCCTGAAGCTGCCCCCTGCCCTGGGTTACCCCTGAGGAAGATCTACGTGGGGCTGTGCTGCCGTGTTGGCCCCTCCTGGCTGGGAACACAGGCACGCACCATGTTTGCTGCAGAAGGTTCGAGACCAAATGTCTCTGGGGAGGTTGGCGTGGCTGGGGCCCTGCTGTTGGGATGTGCTGGTGGGGAGAGGCCGTGACCTGCTGGGGTCCGGCCGTGCCCTGGTGGGGTCCGGCTTCCCCTGGCCAGGAGGTGCTGGGATGCGGGGCTGGCTGGAGATGTCTCCCCTCTGTACATAGTCTGTATTTATCAATAAAGCCTTTTCGTCCTTCCTCTGGCCTCTGGGACAGGCTTGGGGGGGCTGTCACCTGCAGCCACGAGAGGTCCGCATGCCTGTCCTACATCTGCTCACATGTCAGGATGGACACAGGGTGGCTGGGGAGAGTCTGGACACCCCAGGTCTGGTTGTGCCTTAGCCCTGTCTTGCCAGTCCTGGTTCTTTGCCCAGCTGGGACCCTTCCCTGATGCTGCTGGCATCATCCCATTGCCATGGCAGCTGCTTGCTGGCATCGGGCCCCTGCCAGCCTTTCCCAGTGCTTCCCCTCTGGACATTCTACAGAGAGGGACAGTCCCAGGATTACTTTCACTACCACCATCACCTGTCCTGGTGTAAATGGTGCCTTTCTGCAGCTGGAGGCTGTGGCACACATGGCACATGGCACCCAAATGTGGCCCTGGGGACTGCCAAGGAGGATGACGGTGATGTGTCCCCACCTGTCCTTCCTCCAGGTCATGTGCCGGAGACAGAGGCCCAGCGCATTAACTGTCCCGGCACAGGACGCTGCTGGCCTCATCTTACACAGGGGGAGAGCAAAGCCCAAAGGGGCTCAACAATGTCCCCACTGCCCAGAATAGCTGCTGGCTCTGCCCGCCAGCTCCATGTGAGGCTGATCCTGCTGCTCGTGCTCTGTGGGGCAGGCCAGGCAGCCACCAGCACTCTGGCAGGACTGCTCAGGACGTTTCACACCTGAGGTCATCCTCCAAAGCGATGCAGAGGAGCCACAGCTCCCAGCATCACATGCTGCCTACCACTGGCTGGGGGGTTTCAGGGGCGTGCATTGCCTCCCTCTGGGGTGGGCAGCATCCACCCCCCACCCCTCCCTGGGTGCTAGGAAGCCTCGGGTGCTGCAGCATCTGGTGGCATGGGGATGGGGTGATGGGTGCCATGAGGAGCATCCTGGCTGTCCAGGGCACACAACATATGGAGTGACCACCGAATGTGTCTGCCCCACTGAGCCTCTGCTCCACTGAGCCCTTCTGGACCAGCTGCCATGGGCTGTGTGCCCCCCAGCACCCTTACATCCAGCAGGGGTCCTGTACGGGGGATACAGTGGGTCTCTTTAAGAGAGTGTGGGGCCAAAGAGGTGAGTCAGAATCACCAGAAAGCAGAACCGTGAGCTCATGGCAAAGCTGCCCCAGTCATGTGGAGCAGGCACAGCTGTCGGTGCCCTTGGGCCACAGGACAGAGGGACTGGCAGCATAAAGCTCCACGACCGGCAGAGCCAGCAGCAGAACCGGGAGCCGGGAGCACTCTGTGCCTGTGCTGGTGAGGAGAAGAGGCCGAATCCTGCCCGGGGCTGTGCACTGTGGGCAGACATGGAGCTGGAAGTGCAACGGGCCAAAGAGCTTATCGAGCAGAAGCTGGCAGAGGAGGAGAAGGAGGAGGAGAAGGTGGGTTCTAGGGCAGGGGGACTTGCCTGGGCTGCGGCAGGAGCCCACCTCACTCTGTGTCCATCCTTATGGACTTCGATATGAGGAGGCTGGCACAAACGCTGCCATCCTGGGGGATGCAGCGAGGTAGCCAAGGGTACTCTGAGGCATCAGGTTCCCAGCCCAGGAGCTCTGGCTGATGGGGCCGAGCTGAGGAGCAGGCAGGTGTCCAGCTTGCCAAGTAGGGCAGGTGAGCAAGCACAAGCCCAAAGGCTGCCAGGCATCTTGTAGACCTCAGGAGTGAGCCGAAAGTCATGCCCAGAGCCACCTCCACCAGCAGGTTGCGGTCAGAGACAGTGGGACTGCTTCATGCCCAGCCAGGACCATGTAGCCCCCCCATGCCCTTATAGCGACTCAAAGAGGATGGTGCACGAGAGCCACTGGCTGTGGAGCGGATGAGCACACCTGAGCTGGAGGAGGAGAAACACCTTGGACCGAGAAACTGGGGACTTGAGGCTGTCAAGGTGAGGAGGATTGAGGCACGGAGGGGCCAGGGGGTGGCTGGACACAGAGAAGGCAAATGGGACACTGTATGTGTGTCCCTGTCACCTCTAGGGCCAGGAGCGGGTGCGGAAGAGCTCGGTGGACCTGCGG